CCCCGCCGTCTCTCTCCTCACCTCAGCAGCACAGATTTTGTGCAATGACAAGGAAAAGGAACATTCAGTGCCAGGCTTTTAATTACAATTGCTTCAGGCTGCTGGCCTCCATGCCAAATGACCACACGGAGAGTGTTCTAGCACACCAGAAAGCCGACAGGGTCCAGTCTGCGGTGCACACGGCACGTGGCCAGGATGGGGCTGTGTTCCTACCAGGGAAAGGCTGGACCCCGATTCGTTCACGTGGGCCTCAGAGCAGCTGGGCTTTCCGCTGGAGCCGCTGGACCAGATGGCACTGCCCGCCAGGACCCTTACAACAGACTCCAGGGAAGGCCTGTAATTGGGTGGGAGAGAGATCTTTGGGAGGAAGGCCGAGCTGCGGAAGGATGATAGGGATGGATGAGACCGTGGGGCACAGCCATGTGGGAGGAATAGGATAATCCCGTCCACAACACTTCACAATCTACAACGAGCTTTCCGCTTTCTCGAGCATGCTTAATCCTCCCATCAATCCTGCTTAGGAGACAGGGCTCAGAGAAGGGAAGTCACTTGCCCAGAGTTAAACAGGCAGAAAACCAGGTCTGGAGCCGTGGCCTCCCACTGCATCCAGCAGTCTCCACAAGGAGTCAGGGGAGCAGCCCAGGCAGGAAGCAGCTCGTACCACCTCCCCCACCGGGAGCCACCAGGGCGACCTCTCTCAGGGCAGCACCGTGGTGACACTGGTGAGCACCACGTGCTCGGGGACTTTGGAGACGGAGTACCGGCTGTGCAAGGACAAGGACTTGTGGCTGGCAGAGGAGCGGGGGCTGGGGGCCTTCGGAGAGTCGCAGGGACCCAGGCCAGGCAGGCAGCTGGAGAAGGCGGCCTTAAACTGCTCCCGGAATTTGCCTTGGTTGGAGACAGAAGACACAGCCATAAGGAGATGGATGAAGCAGGAAGGTCCTTGGGCCCAGGAACACCCACGCAGCTCCAGCCAAGCTGCCTGTGAGGGGGCGGGAGGGCAGGGGAGAGCTGGGACGAAGAAGGCCCCAAAGGCGACCTTGGCATTGCCAGGGAGAGTGAGGACAGAGGCCCTGGAGCAGTTCCCAAGGAGAAATGCAATTTTCATCTGATTCCTTGACTGCACTCTGGCTCTGAGCCCGGCTCAGAACGTGGTGTCTGGTTCCGGGGCCTGGGGCCACCTCTGCCCTCCTTGGTGGGTATGGGGAGGGGCTCGGACTCATGGCTATGGCTAGGCTATCCCCACCCGTGCCCCACAGTGACGGGAAGGACAGCAGCAGCCTGCATGAGGCCCTGTGAGGGGCACCTCTGCTTTGCCCCACACACCGCTCCTCCCCTGCTTCTCCCAGCACACTGAGAGGCTGGCGTCCTTTATCCTTACTTCATAGGTGAGACGCACAGAGGTGCAGAGACTTGCCCAGGGTCCCCCAGCCAAAAGTCAGGCCCAGTTCTCATTCCGGAGCCCTTCTCTTGAAGGGGACAACAGAGTAGGGAAGAAGGGACTACCACAGCCAGCTCGGTCAGCCAAAGGACACCAAGGAAACAGACGGTGTCTGGAGCAGAAAACTCCTTGACCACGCTTCGTCAGCCAGCAAGCCTCCCTCGGGCCCCAGCAGAGGCCCAGACACACAGTAGGTGCTCAGTAAACGGACACAAGACAGGAATGCCTGGCAGGAAGTCTGGTTGCTGCCTTTGTGGCAGCCCTTACATCTTCTGTTCTCCCCACTGAGCTGGAGACTGCTGACTAGCCTTCAGTGACTAATTCTTTAGTCTCAATGAGGCTTAGGATATGGACCCCCAGCCCCTCCTTCAGCCTTTTTCCAAAGATCATTGTTCCCAGGCTTGAACAGGCATCTGGACCAGCTCGTTAGGCCTAGTTCTGCAGCCAGAGGCCTCACTGTGAGCCACACTTCTGCTGAGCCCAGGTGGGTCCGCGGGCAGAGGTGTTACCACCCGGAGCCTGGGAGGTTGGGGCAGGAGGTGCACACAGTGGGACAGCAGAGGGGAGCGGCCTGGGGTGGGGCTAGGGGACTGGGGATGCCTGGACTTCCAGACAGGGGAGCAAGAAGGCTGGTACTGGAGACAGATGGGTCCAGGGACAGTCCCCCACATTCTGGCGGCTCTGCCAGTTCGTGTCTAGCTGGGCATGGGGAAGCCCTCCCCGGCCCTGGGCTGCCTCTACTGGTGATCCTCCCTTACCCAAATGACTTGGTTATACAGTCATCCTCTCGGGTGGGAGCTCCCGGGCCCTCTTCCCATAGGCCTGGCTCCCCCAGAGCCTGTGTTGGCCAGACAGGGCCGACTAGAGGTTCTGGTGTGTGGCCTGTCTCCCCCTTAGACCAGGGCTCCTGATCAGGGCCAGGTCTCTCCCAAATGGGAGTTCCCAGAGCCAGCTCAAGATCCCCAGGCGGGAGCAGGGACATCCCCTCCTGCCATCCCTTTACTCAGCCTGGCTTGGGGGTGTGCAGACTGTTGTCCCGAAGACTGCCGCACCCTTCCCCACCCATCCCCCTACCTCTCCAGCCCGCTCACCACTGAGGAAGTTGTAGATGATGGGGTTAGCAGCGCTGTTGGCATACACCAGCCAGTGTGAGAAGGTGAAGCAGGCATAGACGGCTTCTCGGTCGCTGGCTTGGTGGAACATCCCAAACACCCTAGGACCAGTGGGAGGACAGTCAGAAACGGGGTAGAAGTATGTGCACGTGTTCCCATTTTTGTTGGGTGGGAGTCACTGTCCTTATCTAAAACACAGGAAAGCCAAGGCTCAGAAAGGGGAAGTGAGTTGACCAAGGTCACACAGCTCACTAGTGGCTATCGAGTGGAAGACTTCCCACTGCCCCTTCTGTTCCCCCAGGTGGCCCTTTCCTGGGCCTTTAGGTCTGAGGTCTTGAGCACAGAGAGTGTAACCAGGGTGGCTCTCGGGACAGGGACCAGGGTCCATCTGCTCATTCACCGGCTCTCAGATCCTCTGGGACCCCCAACCACTTCCTCACCCACCCTTGCAGCGACATGAGGAGTCAAGCAAGACATCACCCATTGTTCAGTTAGGGAGGTGCACAGAAGCAAAATGACATGCCCGAGATCACAGGAAGTGATCCAGGAAATGGCCAAGCACAAACTCACACTGAGATTGGCTCCTGACAAACAGCCCGCTGCTCTCTCCTGGTGCCCCGCAGCCCCTCACTTGCTGAACCCCGTGTTCCCTCCGCTTCCAGTGCTTTCCTCCAGACACCTGCTGGCCTGGTCCCTTGGTTTCCCCCCTTCCTTCAAGTCCCTGCCAAATGTCATTTCCTCAGATGAGACTTTTTTTTTAACCCTTGTATCTAAAAAAAAAAAAAAAAGATGAAAAAATAAACACACAAAACCCCACTAACTCGTCACCTTCACTCTCTGTGTTCTTTCCCTATTTTGTCTTCATCGTGGTATCCCTCCCTGCCCGTACAGTGGAGACTTATTTCTCTGTCTCACTAGATGTCGCCTCCAAGAAGGCAGAGACTTTGTCTTGTGCACGTGGTCACTGTGCTCCCTGCCCACCACCCCCATCGGGAGCTGATGGTTGAGAGAAGAGATGGAGGAATTTTCATAATCCCCTCGCAGGCCACGGCTGGCTGGCGTTATTCACAGTTTACAGGCAAGAAAATGAGGCTGGGAGGCTCTGAGAAGGGAAATGACCTGCCTCCAAGGCCACATAGTGGGTGAGGACTAGGGTCCTTCTTCCCCCGAAGCAGAGAGAGGCCACCAGCTATCCCCTCGCACTCTCACCTCTTGAGGACATTGAGGACGCTGATGGGCAGGTAGCAGAGGGCAAAGACCAGCAGCACCACCATCAGCATCTTGGCCGTCTTCCTCCGCGCCCGCATCTGCTTCATCTCAGCCAGGAAAGCCCGGGCCCGGGCCCGGGGCGGGGGCTCTGCGCTCAGGCCCTGCCCGGGGTCGTCCGACTGGTCTGAGGGCCGCTTCCAGTTCCTCACCAGGGCCGATGTGGTGCCGGGGATCTGGTTGGCACAGAATGAGAGAGAGCGGTGGTGGGTGGGGCTCCTCGGGAGGGCCGTTCTCCTCTGCATGCTGCTCCGGGAGGACCCTGGGGCAGGCTGGAGGTGGGCCAAGGGAAGGAACCTAATATTCATGATGAAGACCGACCGACACTCCAGGCTGGAGGGGCCCCGTGAACTTGAGTCTCTCAGGAGCTCATTGTGAACTCCCCACGGTGTGCCTTCGGGGAAGGGCTTCCCGGCCCTCAGTTACTGATGAAAGAACAAAACCTCAGAGAGGCAGGAGACTCTAGAACATCCTCCCGAGCTACCCCTCCATCCTCCTTAGGCCATCGCTTCCCGTCGTGGGGGGAGGGGTGGTGGGGTGAGTTGTGCCCCCCACCTCACCTGTGCCTGACCCCAGAAAGCGAGCAGAGCAGGTGAGCAGGTGAGCGGCATGGAATGGCTGGGAGCCTCAGAGCACAGTCCCTGCCTCCGTCACAGCCCAGAAACCTGGGAGGGGTCCAGGTTTCGGGAGCAGCCATAGATCTCCTTGAAGCCTCTCACACCATTGGACACATGAATCACCCCCCTAAAGAGGGGCACAGGGCTACAGTTGAGGAAAATTAGGGGCTAGGGCCAGCTCAGCTGCTCATGACCTGTGTGAGCTCACTCAACCCACTCTCCTGCCCTGAGCCTTGGTTTTCTCATCTATTAGAGGAGGATAGTGACTCTTGGCATCGGGACGGGGGGGGGGGGGGGCTCTTGGACAGAGGGCAGGTGCTGGTGGACTGCAGGCTGGTCGCCTTCTGGTCTTCATCCTCGCCTTGCCCAGGCACAGGACCCAGAACTTAGCCCCCTGGTACCCAGAACCTCTGAGCACTCCCCTCCCCCCACAACGACCCCCTGCCCCCTGGAACCTGCTGTTGGTGGGTCTGTAACAGAGGCCAGCAGGCAGGCCCCGGAACCGGAAAGCTTCTGCCACCCATCTGCTGTGGCAAGTTGGCCGCCCTTCGTCAGCATTGGCAATGGGGGTTCTACTGCTTCTGTGCTTAGGTTGTTGTGAAGACGTTGGGAGCCAAGTGCCGAATTTGGCAAAAACGCAGAGATAATGTTGTTGTGGGGCCAACGTGGGCATTAGAATGCCACTGCTCTTCCCCTGGCTGGCTGAGGGGTTTGGGAGAAGAGGCTTTGCCTCTCTGGGACTCCGTTCTCTCATACATTCAGCTGGGGACAATATACGAGGGTTGAGGGGAGGCGAGACTAGCTGGAAGTACCGGGTACAATGAAGGGCAGCTACTGGGCTCAGAACGATGATGAGGTTTTAGATACTGAAGCCAGTGTCAGTTAACATTCGGTTGCAGGGTCGGCCGCAGTGCTTTGGCCTGGACTTTGACCTGTCCCTGGGCCTTGCCTCTCTCCGGTGGCAGCTGGGATGGCAGATTCTTTCTGTTCCCTCAGACCAGGACCCCTTTCCTCCCCACCAGCCCAGACAGGGACACCAGAGTGGGCCTCACCTGGCGGCCCCAGAGCTTGCGGAAGATCTGGAAATAGGCCATGGCCATGAGGCCCAGTGGGGCCAGGTAAGTGACAATGAAGAAGCAACTGTGGTAGATCTTGGGGTAGAGGTCGTCTGTGGGGGTCAAGAGACACAAGGGCAAGAGACGCTCCCCTTCTGGGGTCCTCCAGCCTGTTCCACTTAGCAAAGCCCCCCTGCCCCATCTGGAGCCGTACAGCCAAAGCAAGCAGCTGGGCCTCTTATAGACACCACGACAGAGAGGGTCTCTCTGACCCTGCAGTTGCCCAGCCGATGGGTGTCCATCCTGGAGGGAGCCCTCACAGGTGTCTAGACTAGAGGAGATACCCGCTTTGGAGGTGTCCTTGCTAGATGCCTGCTGGATGGCGTCCATCAAGGGGTCACCCGCCCTGGGAGGGTAACCCTATAGAAGCCGGCTCCACCCTGGGAGTGCCCGCCCCATAAGTATACTGACAGATGCCTGTCCTAGGGGTACGTGTCCCGGAGGCACCCACTCCAGGGCCTCCTGCTCGAGGCCCCCACCATTACCTGCCCAGTGTTCATCACAGACGGAGAAGAGCCGGGTGCGGTTGGCTAGCTCAGGCAGCACGCTGCTGTATTCCATGACAGCAGCCTGGGGCACCATCATGGCCAAGGACACAGCCCAGATCCCCAGGATGGAGCCACGGGCGCGCCTCGCAGTACTCTTGAACAGCAGCGGGTGGCAGATGGCGTACCAGCGGTCCAGGGCGATGAAGCTGAGAGTCAGCACTGCCACCGACACAGACACGGCCTGCCCCATGGGCACACGGTGTCAATCCCCTTGGGGGCCACCCACAGACATGGGGTGGGTGATGGGGCATGGAGTCCCGAAACGCCAGGCATCCATGATGACTGCACTGCACTGCTCACGGCTTATGGAGCTTTGGGCAAATCACTCACCTTCTCTGAGGCTCGTCTGAGGAATGGGAACATGTCCTCCACCTTCAGGATTCTTGTGAGAATCCATGAAATCATGGGTGGGAAATGTCCAGGTTGAGACCTGGCCCATAGTGGGTGCTTCCCTACCATGAATAGTAACTTAATGGGACCTACTACGTGCCAGGCACTGTTCTCATTATCTTCACAACAGCCCCATGGTGCGTACTCTCACCCCACGTTACGTACTCTCACCCCACGTTACAGAGGAGGACACTGAGGCACAGGAAGGTTAAATAATTTGCCTAAGGTGCATTTCCTCCCCACCCTGTCTTTATTGTCAGTGTTTGCAGCATTAATCTGTTGAGTGGAAAATCTTAAAAATCCAAGAGGCGGGGCACCTGGGTAGCTCAGTGGGTTAAAGCCTCTGCCTTTGGCTCCGGTCATGATCCCAGTGTCCTGGGATCGAGCCCTGCATCAGGCTCTCTGCTCAGCAGGGGGCCTGCTTCTCTTCCCCTCTCTCTGCCTGCCTCTCTGCCTACCTATGATCTCTGTCTGTCAAATACATAAATAAAATCGTTAAAAAAAAATCCAAGAGGCATTTCTCTTTGCGTAGGGATGCCTTCCTTCCCCGGGGCTGTGAGGAAAGAGCCTCCCTCAGGGAGGCAGACGTGAGCCTAGGAACAGAAGTGGAGGTGGAGGCTGCCTCTGGGAGGGAACCCTGCCCTCTGGGGTGCATCCTGGCCTCTGGCCAGGTCTCTTCCTCCAACCCCCACCACATCTCTACAACCTGATCCCTGCCGCTGGGGAGGGAAGGCCCTGGCCAAAGGTGGTCTCCTCACACCAGCCCCCTGGGAACCAGGGAGCAGGCCTAGCAAGCATCTGTGCCTGTCACCGTGGGCTTGTGCCCCTCTCATGGTGAGTGGAGGTGACTGCACGTGTGTCCAGTGGCTATGTGCGTGTGGGTCTGCGGGTGTGACCAGGTGGGGATCTCTGTATGAGTGTGTGGGGCCAGGCCTGTGTCTCCAAGTGTCAGGCCTTGTGGCCGGGCCCTAATGACAGGAGAGGACGACACAGCAAAGGAACTGAGCCACCACATCCCGTCTGAAAGGCAAGTCCAAGGGTCGCTGAGGTCTGTGCAAGGCCATGGTGTTTTGTACTTGGGGTGACAGAGGGGTGACAGACGGCGCCTGGGTGGAGCTCACCTGTAGATAGGGGATGACCTTGCAGAGGGCATGACCGAAGAGCCAGGATTCAGTGATGTCTACCAGCAGGCTGGCCGGGAGGCAGATGGCTGTCACAAGCACGTCAGCCAGGGACAGGTTGACGATGAAGTAGTTGGTGACTGTCCTCATGTGGTGGTTCCTCCAGACAGCCAGGCAGACTGCAGGGCAGGGGTGGGAAGAGGAGGGGATGTGAAGCGGGGGTGGGCAGAGCCGTGCTACCCAGCCCCCACACTGTCAAGCTAAGGGGAGGTGGGGAGGGAGAGAGAGAGAAGCCAGGCCCAGGACCCCTGCCAGTGCCCAGGGGAAGTCCGCAGCACCGCGGGGACCTAAACACCTACCCAGCGTGTTGCCCACCAGGGCCACAAGGAACACAGCCACGTAGGCAGCGATGAGGACCCACTCATACTGCTTTGGGTAGAGATAATCACGCCACAGGTAGCGCAGGAACTCGTCTTCGTAGTCAGGAGGCACCAGGGATGGTGATGGGTCCCCGCCGCCAGTGGGGGTCCCAGTCTGGGCCCCTGGGGTGGCGGAGGGCTCCATGAGCTCAGGAGCTGCTGATGGCTAGGGGCATCCTGGGCCCGGCAGGGCGTGGGGAGCCCCGACCAGGTCTCAGCCCACTTCTCTTGCACACAGGTCTCTGGGGTCCCAGCCCCAAGCCTCCTGAAAGAAGGAGGGGAGGAAGGAAGAAAGAACACTAGGAGTGTGCCAGGCACTTTGCAGGTAAGCTCCCTCCGTTCTCGTAGTGCGTCGGTTACGGTGAGCCCAAAATCGATGGAGAAAGACAGATGTGGCTTACATCTCAATTCCATGCTAGGTGCTGTTGGATGCCTTACGTCTCCCCTTTCAGCCTTGGTTTCCCCATCTTTCCAAAGGAGTAATAACCGTACCTACCCCACAGGGCCGCAGCGAGGTGTAATGAGCACTAATACGTACCCAGATGCTGGCAAGGAAACCGGCTTCAGGGCCGGCTCCCGTTACCATGAGCCCTTTGCTTAAGGCCACAAAGCTACTATGCCAGGTCTGTCTGAATCCACGAAACACCATGGATTTGTGACTGGAAGCCATCCCCATTGCCAATGTTCTCTCCTGAGTCAGTTCACAGGCCTGGATTTTTGGTTGAAAAATGGTCAAGGGAAGCATTAGGGACCCAGGCGCCGCCCTCCAGACCTGGACCCTCCCCGGTAGGACACACATTGGCGGCAGGGGTGCAGGAAGGAACTGACGACCTCCCTGCAAGAGAGGAGAACCCCAGGCCCAGCGACAGGCCGCTCAGACCCCCGGATCTTCCCCGCTTGAATCCCCGCGGCCGCGATGTTCCCCGACGACCGCCAGGGGTCGCTGGGCTGGAGCGCAGGCCGCTTTCTCCATTCATAAATCGGGCCTCCCTCCCCGCCCATCCTCGCTCGCTCAGACCCCTCCTTCCCGCGGCTAGGCAGGGACGACCCCGGACGTGTGTAGGAGGGTTGCCGGTCCCTGGAGACCACTGGGGGAGGTTGAGGGGCATTCTTCATACCCCCTCCAAGTGCCGACGGACCCAGTCCCTCAGCGGGACCTCCCTGCACCTCGGGGACTGGGTTGGGGTGGGGGGGTGGCTGCGGGGAAAGGTGGCGGAACGAAGGCGCTAGAGGTTCTGCAGAAACCTGCCTGGAGGAGGGCAGAGCCTCCAGGGGACCCTGCCTTCCAGCACCCAGGTTATGCCCCGCCGAGGGTCCTTTGGAACCCCCACCCCGGGCCTGGGGGAATCCCCCAAACCCCGCACCTGTTGGCTCCAGGACCCCGGCGTCCTCGGCTGCTGGTCCCCGGACCTTGCACCGGGGACTCCGCCTCCCTGGCCCGAAGGCCGGGCTTCAGGGGCCCGGGCCGGGGGAGGGGTCCGGGGCAGCCCCCTCCCGAGGCCGCGCTGCCTGGGCTCGCTCGGCTGGGCGAGAGCCGCCGCTCCAACGCCGGCTCTGGCTGGGCGCGGGCTCAGCCGGGCTGCGCGTCGCGGGGAGGGGGGACGAGCGGGAGGGGCGGGCGGGGAGGGGAGCCCCCAGCCGGTCTCCGCTTCATGTCGCCCAGCCCGAGACCGGGAGGGCGGGGGAGACGCTCATTCCTCCTCGCCTGCCACTTCATGCTTCCATCCCACCTCCATTCATGCGTCCATCCGTTCATTCATACGTTCGCTTTCACTCGGCTTCTGTGCCTCCGGCCGCTGAGCGTTCAGAGCGCACCTACTGTGTGCTGGCGGGCCCTAGGCAGCTCCGGAGGGGCCCCAGCGCAGACGGGGATCCCAGCTCCACTTCCCGCGGCCGCGCCTAGCTGAGGAGGATGGCACAGGTGGGTCACAGGGGTGCCCATCTCCCAGCGCACCCCCCCCCCCGTTCTCTCCGCCCCAATCCTTTTTCTTCATACCTGCTTTCCCCCCTCCCAAGATGGATGGTAAGTAGAGGCAGGAAGAGGGGAGCCAGAGGGCCTGACTAATTCAACAAACAATTACTAAGCTGTGTGCCAGGCAGTGAGCTAGAATAATAGGGCTGCCCCAAGTGTACCCCATCCCCCCACCATGCGGGATCTCACTTAATCTCCCCACCAGTCCAGGGAGGTAGTCACTATTGCCCCATTTTGCAGATGAGGACACTGGGTTCACATGGTTCAGAACTTGCCCAAGGCCACACAGCAGAGGCAGAGTTAGGATTCCGACCTGTGATCCTCTCCAGGTTTACCCATCTCCTTGCCAGGCAGAAACTCCCCGTCCTTCAGACACGCCCAGGCTGGCCAGAGACAGGAGGCTCACAGCCCAGCAAGTGACTATAGCATGAGGAGGGCTGGGAAGTGGCCCAGAAAGACAGATTGATTCAACCAGGGCATCAGGACAGACCTCTTGGAGCAGGAACACAGGGACCTGCAAAGTGAGATGGTAGCCTTGCAAGGGGGATTGAGGTAGCCACAGAGAGGTTTCCAGGTAGAGGAAACAGCAGGTGTAAAGGTAGGGAGGTGGGGCCTTCCAGGAACCACAGTGAGGTGATGAGCCACCCCCTGGGCATCAGGCCATGCCCTGCCTCAGGACAGGACCTTCCTGGCACATCTGGTCCCAACGTCCTCTCACCCCCAGTGACTCAAAATCCCTCCCTCCTTGGGAAGATTCCTGAGATGTAACACTCCATGTTCTCTGTGGCAGCCAAAGTCCTTTCTCAGAGGAGCTGGTGATGGGCCATTAAACACAGTGTTTGGTAGTGGAGCTGGGGTGACAGTGGACAGGTCAGTGACCTCCCCTGCCTCTCCAGAAAGGGAGAACCGAAGCCGATCCTAAGGCACAACTCTGTCCCTGGGCAGGACAGGTGATGGGTCCCAGCATCCGTGTGGTTCCAGTGTTCTGTCCTGCCTGCCTGGGGTGCTGGCGGTGGGAGGGGAATGAATGAGGGGACTCGAGAGAGGAGCACCTGGTGTGCGTGCGCACGTGTGCATGGGTGTGCGTGAGCATGCATGTGTGCTTGCACATGCACGTGTGTGTCTATGTTTTTCTGTATTTAAGAGGAAGGGCTGTGAGTGTGTGTTTAGAGAATCTATTCTGTGACACTGTGTGTGTGTGTGTGTGTGTGTGTGTGTCTGAGTGTGCATGTGAGCAGAAGATAGGCTTTGGGTTGGTGACCAATGTCACCCTGAGTGGGCTGTGTCTGCATGGGGCTTACTTTGTGTACATTGGTGTTTGTGTACACAAGGAGTGTGTGCGTGTTTGTGTGTGTGTGTGTGTGTGTGTGTATGGAGGGGGTGTCTGTCTCCCTGTGTGTCTGAATGTGTAGTTTGGGCTTTGACTAGCATCAGCCTCCTGGCGTGCGCCCCTATGAGCGTGGGAATGTGTGTGTGGGCACGCCTTTGTGTCTGCGGCCCTGCCACTGTTCGAATGTGGGACTTGGTTTGTCCGCCCCCGCAGTGATGACTCATCTAATCCCTCACTCTTAACCCCCCCCACCCCCCAGCTAGAGCTGGGACTGTCTGCTATGTCAGGGCTGGGGAGGGGGCTGCAGCACGGGCTGGGATGGAGGGTGAACCGCGTGGGGACCCTCAGGAGACAGCCACAGCTGCTAATAAACAGGCACACGAGTCTGCGAGGATGGTGGGCGCCAGCGGAGCCCAGCCCAGAGCTCCGGATACTTGGGCCTCCCAGACACCCAGTGCTGGAGTGAGCAAGGGTCTCCCCAGGCCCCCAAGCCATTATACGTGGAGTGCATGTGTCTGTGCATGTGTGTGGGGGGGGAAAGGAGTCATGGCTGAGAATTCAGTTTCCCCAGAGCCAGTCCCATCTCTCCTGAAGAGGGATCCTAATGGCCAACTCCCCCTTCATCCTTCGGTCCCCCAGAGATGGCTGCCCTCCAAGACAAAGGATCAGGAGTGGTTCCTTCTACCCTGAGGCAACAGATATTTTTCCTGCTCAGACTTTCACCAGAGAGGAGGCTCTGGGCCCCCAGGTACCCCTGGTCCTGAGTCTGGCTTCCTCACTCACGGCCTGAGGGCAAGAGAGGACAATTGTTTGGTTTGGGTAGATGCTTCGAGAAAACCCTGGGATCCCAAGAGGGGGTCAGTGATGTTCTGGAAGACCCACAGGGGCTGTGGTGATTTGGTCCTTGAGCCCAACAGCACTGGTCTCTGGGAGCTCCTGGCAAAGCACCAGGCCCAGGGCAGTCGTCAGGGGATCTCATGTCATCCATCTCCAGGCTGGGCACTCAGCCCTAGGACCTCCACGGCCCAGCGAGGCCAGCCCCGGAGACTCGGCTTTGCCTGAGCTTTCCGTCAACTGGTGACCACATGACCTCTTTCCTGGAACCAGCCAGTCCCGGCCTGGTTGATCTAATCCTGGACCTCTGAGCCCCAGGTCCCTGTCACATCCATCTTTAAGTGCAATCCCCGGCACTGGCCCCAGGTGCTGCTTCCCCCTCCCTCCCAATTCCAGTGTGACCTCTGTCAGGCTAGGACTAGAATAATCAAAATATAATTGGGTTTTCAACTTGCTAATGCTGCCAAAGGCCTGGGCTGTGCATGGGAACACTCTGAACAGGGCAGGGGTGCCTTTTAGAAGAACAGAAATCATCAGACAAGCAGAGGGATGCAGAGGGGTTCGGGGCAAGCCAGCAGGGGCTGGGTTGTGGGCCCAGAATGGGGGACTCTGAGGGCTGAGTCTGGCAGGCCACTGAGGAGGCTGTGGGGTTTGGTCCTCGGGACCAACAGCACTGGCCTCTGGGAGCTCCTAGCAAAGTGCCACCCCATGGGAGGGATCCAGGGGCCTCATGTCCTCTGTTTCCAGGCCAGGCGCTCAGTCTTTGTGCCCCCTCCCCTCGGGAAGGGCTGACCCTCCTTCAGGGTGTGGGTGGCTTGAAGGGGATGGACATCCACTGAGAGAGCAGGGGGCCTAGGACCTACAACCAGGCGTCCTTGCTGGCTTCATAAGCTACTGATCATCTTCCAGCTGGGACAGGGGCTAGAGACAGCAGTCTCTGCTCCCTCGCTCATATATTCAGTCAACAAACACGGACGGTGAGTTAGCTATCAAGAGGGGGGCCCTGCTGGTTAGTCTGGGGAGAACCCCCAGGGGGACAAACGGTGGGGGTGGGTATCACATCCATTAGAGTGGGAGATCGTGGCATCGGGGGTGGGCGACTGGATAGGACTGGGGTCAGCAGTGATAGTGTCCCTGAGCCCAGAAATAACTGTCACCCCTCCCAGGATGTTGAGCCTTGGGTTGAAATGTGG